AGCTAAATTATTATTTTGCTTAAATTTACACCCTTCTAAGTTGAAAAACATGTTCTTTTAGGATCTGTTTATTAGACAGTAAGAGAGGTCTCTACTGTCAACCACTGCAGTGAAGAAAGCCAAGGAATTCCTACATCATTTTAATTCTAGTCTAAGTTTTTAAAGCTACTTGAGAACAGAGGCACAGATATACATAGACAAAAAATACACACACACACACAAAATAAACATTTAGAATCAGTTTTAGGTTATTGAGGTCTGCTTTTTTAATAACTACTGCTGGGAGAATATACCCAAAAAATGAAACAAGATGGCAGTACACTCTTGAAGCACACGAAAATGCACTCTAATCTTCATGCAAAAAGCACTCTTATAACATGCAACTATTTAATTAATGTTGCATTTAACAATACACTAACAACAGTAACAAAGAATGTTTAATGAAGATTTGTGTAGAACATGACCCTCGTGGCTGTCTCTGTATTTGCCTCTGCTGAAACCTTAGTGATTTATCTTTGCCTTTGACTGCTAGTAACAAGAATCCTGCCTTCAGGACGTTTCACAAAACATGTTTATCCTAGTGATGCAGTGTTTGTAGTTTAGATACTGCTGAGGAGCTTCACAAAGAAAAGCTTTCTAAGAAACATGAGTAGTCAACAAATCCATATTACACAAATTTATCACTTAAAAGTCCCTAATTTTTTTATTTCACCTCAGAACTCAAACTCTCTTCAAACATATACTTCACCTCAGGCTCGATGCTAGTTGTTAGTTGTTTCCTTTCTTAAGGTGCTTTTTTGTTAAATCAAATTCCAGTTCCCTTACACTAGAAATTAATTAAAAGAGAGGGGAAAAAACAGAATTTATTGAAGAGCATTAAATAAAATTATATAGAAGTAAATAAAACAATTTAACTGTATGCAATTTTTCTGTAAAAGAAACAACTGGAATTAACGTCAGGTCAACTAAAATACCAGAAGTAATGCCAGTGGCTTTGAGATTGAATTTACTTACCTTGGCCCTCTGAGGGCAGTGTTACCTAACACACGATTAGAAGCATCAGTAGACTGATTAAGTTAGTAGACACTAGCAAATGTAAAGCACTTCTATTAACTATTTTCTTAATTCTGATTTCATTATAATAAATTTGCAATACTGTTCTAAGAACTGTAAAAAATAAATGTTTAAAAAACCTAAAAAGTATACCTGTCCTCACAATTTTATGTCCTTCAATCTAATGTAAATGTGTAATTATATATCATGCAAAAGATTTGACAAAATCTTATTGCATACCACAAAATTAAAGAAAACTGATTTTTCCTTATATGACTTAGCATTTTAATAGCTATT